AAATCATCCACCACTACCAGCTGTTCACTGAGGAGAACATACCCGAGAACCCGTTGTGCTTCCTCTACCCCCGCATCCCCCGAGATGAGGCTTTCGGGTGCTATTATGAGGACAAAGGTGAGAGTCATCAACATGCTTCACTGATAAATTGCAGGCATCCAAAATTCCAACTCCTTCCTTACAAACACAGGAAAACCAATAACCAGAGAAGTTAAGGGATTTGTTTGTGGGACACTGCTAGTTAATAAGGAGATATGACTGTCACGACCATCGGTCTGTGTCCAGTCCACTGACCTCACCACCCCTTATGTGCATCCCCCCACAGTTAATCTCCAGGAACGAAAAAAGTACCTGAAACACAAGCTCATTGTGGTCTCTAACAGGTGAGTTGGGAACTCCTCGGCCACCCTTCACCCTTTCTGGCTGGCATAGGGACCGGACCTGCCCCCTCCCCGTCTCCCTGGCCTTCTCTCCTACTCACTCATACTCTCCAGGCTTCTTCCTGCTCTTCTGGTCTCTCTCTCCTCTGTCTCCCTGCTGCCATCCTTAGGTTGTCTCCCCAGGAGCTCCCCAATAATAGTGGTCGTAATCACTGATGTTAACAGGCATCTGCTTGATGCCAGACATTGTGCAAGATACTTTTAGAACATTTTTAAAAATGTAATCCTTACGAGCCCTGGCTGGCGTAGCTCAGTGGATTGAGCGCAGGCTGCGAACCAAAGTATCGTAGATTCGATTCCCAGTCAGGGCACATGCCTGGGTTGCAGGCCATGACCCCCAGCAACCACACATTGATGTTTCTCTCTCTCTCTTTTTCCCTCCCTTCCCTCTCTAAAAATAAATAAATAAAATCTTTTTAAAAATGTAATTTTTATGAGAATTCATATGAGTAGGAACATTTAATGAACATTTATTAAAAGTACCAAAAAAAAAAAAAGTACCAGGCACTGGGATAAAGCTGTGTGTTCATTCTCTCATTTACTGTCTTCACGGTGGTCCCGTGAGACAGACACTGTTACTGCTGTGTTCAGCTAAGGGAACTGGGGGTTAGCGGAGTGAAGGGCCAAGATGAAGGCTCGCGGCTGCGTCAGGTTCCAGTGCCCTGCTTTCAGCCGTCCTCCCGCCTCTCGAGCATTATTATGTATTGTTCCCATTTTACAGGTGATAAATCTGAGGGTCAGAGAAGTTAATTAACTTGCCTAAGGTCATCCAGCTAGTAAATGATAAGATTCAAACTCTGGCAAAGCCAGTGCTATTTTTTTTTTATTTAAACTTGTATTTATTGATTTTACAGAGAGGGAAGAGGGGCAGAGAGAGAGAGAGATCAATTTGTTGTTCCACTTCTTTATGCATCAATTGGCTGATTCTTGTATGTGCCCTGACTGGGGATCGAACCTATGACCACCTTGGTGTTTCAGGACAATGCCCTAACCAACTGAGTACCGATGCTCTAACCAATGCTCTAACCTACCTGGCCAGGGCAGAGCAAGGCTCATACTCTTAAGCCCTCTTCTGTATTACCTTCTTACAATGGAGAGGTAGCCTCTGTTTGCTCTACCATTCCCCACTTCGCCTACACAACTGAGCCCTCTCCCTTTGTCTGTATTGGGATATCCAGGCAGGTGGATGAGCTGCAACAGCCGCTGGAACCTAATCTGGAGCCAGAAGTGGAATCACTAGAGCTGTCTCCAGGACTGGCACCAGGGCCAGAGCCAGAACTAAGCCTGGGGTTAGAGCCACTGCTAGAGGCAGGGCTGGACCTGGGGCTGTCACTGGAGCCCATACTAGGTGCGGTACAAGAGCCAAACCTGGGACCAGAACTGAGGCTGGAACCTATTCTGGAGCCTATTTCACAGCCGGCGCCAGAGCTGGAGCCAGATTTGCCCCATGACCTGAGACACTTGAACACTGAGGAAATGGAAAGTAAGTGATGAGATGGGGCTAGGGAAGAGGGGGGTACCTTCCCTTTCCCAATTCCGCTCCCTTACCCGTTACAGAAAAGGCCCAGATCTAAGCTCCTCCTTGGAGAGGAGGTTTATTTCCTTGTAATTCCTTTCATTAGGAAACTCACACCAACCGCTGCCCCACCTAAGTGTCCCCTCAGGCCCTTCCAGCCGTCACTTTCCTTGCTGGGTTAGGAATTCCTTGCCTAAGATCAGGGCCTGACTTCTTCCTCTGGACTACCCAGTCTTCAGGAACAGTATGAAGATTGAAGACATCATGCCAAACGGAGACCCGCTATTAGCCGGCCAGAACACCACGGACGAGGCTTACGTCTTCCACCCGAGCCATTTCTACACAGATGGGCCCCTGATTCCTTCTGACTACTAGGAACTGTGTTTCCTCTGTTCTTCCCACATCTTTTACCCCCACCAACCCCCACATCATGATGTCGTTCTCCAAGGATGGGATATCAGGCATGTGCCCCTTCTAACCTGGGTGAACCCTGTGACTTGGGGTCAAAGGTACAAGCATAGTGTGGACCGATGTTGGGCATTGCTCTGACTAGGACCCTGGGGGCTGCCTGCTGTGCTGGGATGTATGGTGGTTTTAGGAGCAGGCCAGGACAGTGTGGAGGTGCGTGGAGAGTTCAGAAGAGTTGCTTCTTTCCAATATGGAAGAATTTCAGCATTGTAATAGCTGGTAAGACCAGTACGGTGCCCACTAGCACTGACCCGTGGTGGAGAACTGTCACAGGACAGGACTCCATCTTCCCCTCATGTCTAGATGAACCCTTTCCTTTCTTTTTTCCCTCACTCCCGACTCAGGTCCTAGATTTCCTCTTTTCCTGCAGGGACTGAGAGCTTTCTGCCTCAGCCACCATGGGCAGCTCCCCCTCTGAGGAAGGGAGTAAGGGGTAGACCTCCTCTTCTTACCAGTCTCCTCCTCTGCCCCCCAAGCTGGCCACACCCATTCCCCCCTCGAAAAAACGATCCCACCAGCCTCATGTGCCTGTGAAGCTTTGCACAGTAACTCACTCTGCCTGGTTCCACTTTCCCAGTGCTTAGGAGGCAAGTCACTCCTGGAAGCCAGGGGTGGTACGGTTGCTGGAAATTCAGGAACTGCTTTTTATAGTATGTATAGAATTCGGTATTTTTACAGAGGAAGAGAAGACTTGGGTCTTGTATATTTCTCTATTAAGATATCATCCCTTTCTTTTGTACAATATGTTGTTTACCTGAAAAGATGGTTTCTGTTCCTTGGGCATGGACCTGGAAGTCCCTGGAACTTAGAACCTCGAAGGTTCATCATGGAGCTCTGGACCGCGGTGGGCCTTGGCCACTCCCAGAGAGCCCCAGGACTTCTGTTGCTTTACTGTGTGCTTCTAGTAAAACTCGAGATGTGAGCGAAGCGAGGCCCTGTACATGCTCCTGCCTGGTATGTTAGAGTAATTTTCAACCTTTTCATCTTATGGCGTGTATAAACTAATTACTGAAATTTTGTAGCACACAAAAAACAGTTTTTTTTCTGATCTAACAAAAACAAAAACGTAGGTATAATTTTGATTCATTCACACCAGACAGATGGCTGTTGTTGTGTTGGCTGTTGTCATTGTTTTGTAAATTCGTGTGGCACACCGGTTGCAAATCACTGTGTTAGAGGAACAATACTGTTCAGAAAGAGGCCTGTCTGAGCAGAAGTGGGTAATAAACTTTGTGCCAACCTAGAAGTGTTTCCTCTGAACTTCTTTACTTCTCTGCTCACAAAGACTAATGTTCCTGAAAACGTCAGCGGGCCGTGCAGGATCACGGTCCGAAAATCACAGCCTGTGTTTCACCCACCCCAGCGTACCCCTTTTGTTATGTCTCTTCTTCTTATCTCCCTGTTCAGAGCAGCCTTGCCTGACCCACAGAGTCTTCCAAGGGTGCTGTGAGCTATACACGGGGGGAGTTGTTACATAACTAGCCCATTGGTCCTCAGCTGGTTGGGGCCAGAGCCAAATTTTAAACCTGGGTCTGTCTGACCCTGAAGCCTGTGTCTCTTTTTGATGTGAAGATGGAAAAAAGGAAGGGAAACAATCGCTAGCTGTTTCCCATACTCTTTATTTATAAGGCAATTTATTTTATTTTATTTTTTAAGATTTTATTTATTTAATTTTAGAAATGGGAAAGGAAAGAGAAAGAGAAGGAGAGAAACATCAATGTGTGGTTGCCTCTCAAACGCCCCCCTACTGGGGACCTGGCCTGAAACCGAGGCATGTGCCCTGACTGGGAATTGAACCAATGACACTTTGGTTCACAGGCCAGCACTCAATCTACTGAGCTACACTAGCCAGGACTCTAAGGCAGTTTATAATCAACTCCCTTCTGAAGAGCCCACAGAAATCCATTGAGGGAGAATCCCATTAGTTTTGGGGATTTTTCTTTGTCTTCCTGGAATGCGCTTCCTGCTCAAACAACTCTGATTTTGGTCCTGTAGTGATCGGGGTTTTGTCTTTGGCCAAATACACTCTTGGCCCAGAAAGCAGGGAAGGAGGCACTGGGTAGGGGAGCAAGAGAGGTGCCCCATTTCCTAATCTCAACCCCTTGCAATCTCTTTCCATCTTGCTTAGCCATACAGAGATTAAGACCAAAAAGATCCCAGTCACGCTATACTCCAGGGGCCAAAGGGAAACTCTACCATACTTCTGCAGAGTAGAAGAAGGGTGCATATTGTAGTCCCTTGTCTCTATTTTTTCATTTGTTTTTTTCCAACCAAACCTAGAAATAAGACTCAGATACTACATAAATAAGTTTATTGAAAAAAGTACATAATTCAGTATAAATACAATAAATAATCCTCCCCCTTTAACTGCTGCCAAGAGGATAAATAATCCCAAATTTTCCCTTCCCATCTAATAAATACTCAGCAAGAACTAGGTCAGCATCATAAGTCTGCCAGTATTGGTAACTTTTCAACACACAGGTCCCATTAGAATTAATGGGCTGATTGATTTGCTGGCTCACATCTTGGCTTTGCTGAGCCATGAAGGTCTGGATGTCATCCTTAGGCTGTCGGCTTTAGGGGCTCAGAGTCACAGCTCCATGGGCAAAGACCCGGGCAGCTACAGCCATAAAGGCTTGGAGGCTGCGAAGGATCTTGGGGCGGAGCAGGAGACGCTGCCATGGTTGGCTGGGACTGGGGCTTGGACTCTGCTCGGTCTCCCAGTGGTGTCCCTCAGGCTGAAAGGACACAAGACACAATTAGAGAGGACTCTAGATCCTTCACCCCCACCCCTAGTCTGTCACAGATTCCAAGCTGCCATACTCCAGGACCCCCTAGTTCATACCTGCAAAAGTTGCCTGAGACCCAGTAAGGAGGCATGCAGCTGGCTCACTGGGCCATCGGGGCGTAGAGAAGGCTCCCCTGTGAAAATGTCTGAACCCAGCAGCTTCTCGTAAAAAACCAGGCCCTGGTGGATCCTTTGCAAGCAGGACTAGGAGGAAAAAGCAGTGAAAGAAAACTAACACCCTAGCCATGGCTGGCATACCTGGCTGGCGTAGCTCAGTGGATTGAGTGCGGGCTGCAAACCAAAGCATCGCAGGTTCGATTCCCAGTCAGGGCACATGCCTGGGTTGCAGGCCATGGCCCCCAGCAACCGCACATTGATGTTTCTCTCCCTCTCTCTTTCTCCCTCCCTTCCCTCTCTAAAAATAAATAAATAAAATCTTAAAAAAAAAACTGGAGAAGAAAAAAAAAGAAAAGAAAACTAACACCCTCTTTTTGCTCTACTCACCAAAGACCGATCGTGGTCTTTGCCTTTCCCAGACACAGTTATGGGCGGAATGTTCATGTCCCCCAAACATTCCCACTGAGACCCTAGCTCCCAGTGTGCCGTTAGTAGGCGGGGCCTTTGGGAGGGATGGGAGTGAAGCCCTCATGAATGGGATTAGAGTTTATAAAAGAGACCCATGGAAGATCTCCTTTGCCCCTTCTGAGGATAGAACTTGGAAGAGGGCCCTCACCCAACCATGCTAGTACCCTGACCTCCTTGGGCATGGGCCTGGAGAAATTTATTTTTCACAGCCTCCAGAACTGTGAGAAGTTTCTATTTGTAAACTACTCAGTCTATGGTATGTTGTTATAGCAGCCTGAATGGACAAGGACAGATACAACTTTTAGTAATTCACCATGGTACCCAGATATGTCCCCATTCCCTTCTTCCTTGTGGCCCAGGCCCATCTTAGTACCTGACTGTTGTCCCTGAGTCCTTGGGGATCACAGCCATCCTCACACTGAATATGGGGCACATCATTTGTAGTCTCATCATCTCCCTCTTCTGCTTCTCTTGGAAGATCCTGGAACAGAGCAGAAGCATAAAATGAGTACTTTTGAACCCCACATGGACTCTGAGGCCCATGACTCTCCCAGGAGCCCCATTCCCCTGTCCTCTCTTCCTTCCTAATGGCCTTCAATCCTCCAGCTTCCACCCAAGGCCACAGAGTCTTCCACTGCAGCCTTGGAGAGCTTGGAGAGGCTTCTCTTTCATCCCAGAGGCTGCCACTCACCACATGTCCCATAGCTGGATGTGCACTCCAGGCCAGCGTGCAGAGCTTCTGTGAGAGCTGCTGACATCGAGCCCAAGAGGGGCCGCTGCCTTCAGGCACAGCCCGACCCCGAGCAGCCCAGGGTGGCAGCAGCAGCAGCAGCAGCATCATAGCTCTGCTACCCAGCATCTCGGTCCTGCTTCTCAAATCCAGCCGGCTCTGTGCCTTGCACCAGTCCCTGTGGAATCTGCCCACTTCCTCTTGCTCTCTGAACAGCGAGCCTGATTCTCTCTGTTCTCTGCGTCTCTGTTTTAGTTTCCTCTGTTCACTGAAGTTCTGAGCTGCTTCCTTTAATTTCCTCTCCTTGTCTCTGTGTCCCTTTTTAAGGTCCCTGCATTGTAACACCCGCCCTTTATACTAGCAGGTGACTCACAGCAGGTGGGATTCCCCTCCCTGCATCATCCCCCTCCATGGGGAGCCCAGGTATGCCGCCTCAGTTCCAGGGGAAATGACTCGCATGGTTGCTGTGGCTGGAAGCCTGGGATGAGACATATGTGTAATGCTCTCCAGGAATTGAAATGGCTGTAGAAGGGGGTGGGGTGAGAGTAACAAATATTTAAATGATCCTAGTTTCAAGTTCTTTCCTGTTTAACCTTTTCCTCATTTTTTTTTGCCTCTCAAAGATATGTCCCTCCAACTAATTTCCTTACCTCCCCCTCTGCCTGCAGAAAAACCAAAACAGAGGCATTCATTTATTTCCCAATAAGAGGGCAAGCTCAGTTTAGAATGAAGTTTGGTTCCCATTAGATGCCCTCCAAAAATAAGAGTGCTTTTTTTCTCCATTGAAAACAGTGTTATTTTCACTGGGACAGAATGGACTTGAAGGCACTTTGAGAACTGGGTAGCCATACAAATGCAAGTGTTACTGCGTCCCCACTTCAGGCCTCACTGTTCAGGGTAGGGGGGCTGTTGGAGGGGGCACTTGTTGCCAACACCCATCTGATTGTTCAACCTTAGAGGCTCAAAGTTTCATGGGATGTGTAGGATACTAGGTTTTTGTTTTTGTTTTTGTTTTTCGATGGGGACACCAGTGTACGCAAGGACTAGACGTCCAATTTAGGCATTCCAGCCCCTACACCATGGCTAAGAACTCCAGGAGTTCTGAATAGTTGAAGGTGCACAGTGTCAGTGACTCTGGCCAGTCCTTCAGCCTGTTGCATCCATGGGTAAAATCCGCTGACACTGATTTCATCACCCTCTCTGATGCAACGTCAGTGAAACAGCTGAGAGTGTGAGGTTAGGCGTGGGAGCGGAGGGTGGTCCAAATCTGGGGCTGCCCCAAACCTAGTGGAGGGTCCCAGGACAATTTGGACGTCAGAATGAGGCCATGAGTGACCACACAGATGGCTCCCAAAGCCTCCCCAAGAGGTTGACCCTTTTCCTCTGAGAAATTTACCCTCAACAGAGGTCTCCCTTCCCTTAGAACTACTCAAAACTGCCCAGTGAAACTTCTGATTCAAATATGACTCCTTGGTAAATCCACCCTTTGAATAAAACATTTCCAGCATCAGAGATGTTATCTCAGTTTGAGTGAGAAATGGTTTGCCTCTGCCCACATACTGTGGATACACATGAAATAAGGAAATTGGTGGTAGCCAGTGGAAGTAAGGGAGCTCACCTCACTTTTGCATAATGTGTCCTATGCTTTTCCCACCTCTGATCCCCATTCTGGGAGCCCTAAAGGGTTGTAGATGAAAGGTGAAAAGGAGGAGGAGGAAGTGGAGCCCTGGGGGATGAGATGACAGGGACAAGGGTGAGCTGGAGGCATGGGGTTCTGCAGCTTTGTTTCACTTCCTGGTGCTTGGGGAGCTGGGTGGGAAGCAAGGTTGGTGGGGCGACTGTGGGACTGTCGTGTGACAGGAATTACTTCCAGGACTAGATATGACCTGGAGCTGCAAGGGGCCTTTGACGTCAGCAGGGCTTTAGCCATTATGCAAATCTCATTCACAAGACACTTGTAAGCAGACCTTTCCAGTTGGATGCCCAGGCTTCAAATCCAGTTGAAGTTTTCCCAGGTGGTTAATAATGATGGCTACTATACAGGGTGGGGCCAAAGTAAGTTTGCAGTTGTTCATATGGGAAATAATATAATAATTAATACATAATACAAGAATAAATTATTTTGTGTACCCACAACTGTAAACCTACTTTGGCCCCATCCTGTATATCCAGCTCTCACTTTATGCCTAGTACTTGATCTAAGCACTTTTCATGTATTAACCCATTTAATTCTCATGACAAATTAATGAGGTAGGTATTATTATTATCCCCATACAACAAATGAGGAAACTGAGACACAGAGATAAGTAACTTGCCCAAGATCACAAAGCTATTAAGTAGCTGAATTCCAGTGCAGATCTGGAATTCAGAGCCTTCATTTTCAACTGTTCCATTATAGTTGACACTGTGAGGAGACACAGCATCTGATAAAGTAGCTCATTTGGCCCAGGTATCTCTGGGTATCTCAGATCCTGTATTTCTCATAGGTCTGTGAAGTCTTTCTCAATTTGAAACCTCAGCATGGAAATTTCTCTAAGTGTAGAAATTATCTAGGTCTTTCAGCATCCATCTCTTTACAAGATTCTAAATCTGAAGACCTGTGAAGTCAGATTAATTTGAGAGACCCTCTGAGTTGAGGTATTTTTCTCTTGGTCTGTGACCTCCGACTGAGTTTAGGATCATGCTGAGTCCTGAAGTCTAAATTCTGGGGTCCTTATATAAAGAAAGATCTGTGTACCAGCCTTTACTGAGGGTGAGAAATGTTTTAAAATAGTATTCTCCGAGACGAATTCCTTCCACCAAAGACGCCCTCTACATGGCCTTTACAACCTGAGCTTAAGTGCCTTGAAAACATCTCACAACCCCGATCCATTTCAAAGCAGTTAAAGCTTCGAGTTAGGACCCAAGAATCCCTCTGAATGACTGTTGATGCTAAATCTGTAAGAGTTTTGGGAAGGCAAATGTCACAATTTACCGTGCTCGTGTCCCACTGAGGGGTAATGTCCAGCTCCAAGAGCTAGGGGAATTTGATAGCAGCGGGGTCCTATTCCCTGGGAATATTACCGGGGCCTCTGGGGGAGGTTATAATCACAGATGGGAGTTTCAGATGGATGCCCTTAGAATCTCAGAAGATGCAGCCTTTTGGGCCCTGTTAGGAGCTTGGCTCCCGCTTCCTTTTTTCTCTCGCCTATCTGAAGTGATAGGAAATGCCAGCGAGTTTCGGGGGCAACAAAGTTAAAGGTGGAATAGCTCACAAGAGCACTGGGAAAGAGGGGGTGGACCGGCTACAGTGGGAATACCCAGCAGTCGACCCCCAGTGATTTGCCTTGAGCGTCCCTGATTACAGTTTCTTAAGTTACAGGAAACATGAAAATTCTGTTTCGGAACTGGCGTCCTCTAGTTTTGCTCAAAGGAGGCTTAAAAGACAAGGGATGAATTTTTCACAACATCCTATTGGGTCAGGGGTTGACTATAATTGTCCCCATCGGCGTGCCGTAAGCCCTGTTTTTGCCTAGCTCTTTGCACCCGTCTCCTCGAGGAGCCCTCTGAACCTGGTTCCTTCTGATTGGCTTAGGTGAGCCCCAACTCTTTCCTGATTGGGAACTGCGACTGAGAGTCCGCCTTCTTTCTGTTGTAGAGTTCGGTTGAGCCTCTGGCGCGGGGGAGAATTGGGGAAACTGGAATTTCCCGCGTAGCTGACGGCGCTTGTTCTCCCCCTACTCGTTTTAATTCCACGAGCTCCAAAATATCCGCCATGGAGAAATCTTGGTAATGACCCAATCCCCGTAAGCATCCTAGGAACACATCTGACCCCTGCCCTAAGCCCTCCCTTCCCTACCGCCGGGGGAGAATTCTGGGTAGTTGATTTCTCTGGTTCCCCCAGGGAATTCTGGGTAACTAGCCATTTCTATCACGTCCCTCTACTCCCGCCCCAATTGTGGGTAACTGACCATTATTATTTTCTGTTAGAGAATCCTGGGTAACATTACAGAAGATTGTGGGAAACTGGCTTCTTTTGTTCTCATCTCTCAACCCTCCACCCCCAGCCCTAATTCTGGGGAATTAGCACCTTATCCCCGCCCTATCCAATTCCTACCTCTGCAATTGCTGTTCCTTCCACTGATGGTTCAAGTGTGAACCAGGCAAGTGAGCAGGCCTGAAGGGAAGTGAAAAGGAAGTCAAGGACTACGTTGGATAGTTGGGTGGGGGGGAGTACGGAGGACATAGTGGGAAAGAGGAAGGGAGGATACTTCTCCCACCTCTGCCCCACTGTCCCCTACCCATTCCTTCCTGCTTCATCTCCTGCCTACCGCATCCCTTGCCTGCTGTATCTTTCTCCTTTCTAGATAACGTCTAACACACTAAATACAAGTATCTGGGTCTACCCCTGACTTAGTTACCTCTTTCCCTTTACAGGCTAGGATGCCCACTGGTGCTGTCCTGCTGAAGGTTGGGTCAGGCATCTAAAGGGGCTGTGGCAAGGTAGGGTGTGAAACAGGTCTAATCTGCTGCAGCCATCATCATGAACTTCGAGGGTCTGGATCCTGGACTGGCAGAGTATGCCCCAGCCATGCATTCTGCCCTGGACCCTGTCCTGGATGCCCACCTGAACCCAAGTCTGCTACAGAATGTGGAGCTGGACCCGGAGGGAGTGGCCTTGGAGGCTCTTCCTGTCCAGGAGTCAGTGCACATAATGGAAGGTGTCTACTCTGAACTGCACAGTGTGGTGGCTGAAGTGGGCGTACCTGTCTCCGTCTCCCACTTTGACTTGCACGAGGAGATGCTGTGGGTGGGAAGCCACGGGGTAAGAACCAGACCCCTTTGCAAAGGCTGAAAGGAGATGTTGGATGTTTTATCTGGTTTTAGCTGCTTTGCGAGGAGCTGTAATTGAAGTAATGAGAGATAGCTGGGTCTCTGAGTCAGGCCAAGAGGAAGAGAGTAGAGAAGGGGAGTCCTGGCACCCAGGGATGAGTCACATAGGTGCTCCTTTTCAGTAGCCACTCTACCTCTGCCACAATTTGCAATTCCCTGCTGTGATTAATCTTGATAGCTGTTAACTGATAGCCATCTATATCTAATTTCTAATTCCCCTCCTCTCTTTTCCACTTTTATCATTATACAATGGTTAA